CCGGTATTTAGTGTTTTTCCCGTGTTTTCTGGTATTCAGTATAACATGGTGTTTTACGGTAGTTTTCCTGTTGTTTTCCGGTGTTTTCCGGTATATAGTATAGCCCCCCTCACCTCCTACTGCTACTTTTGGTGGGCAGGGTGGGTCCTGGTTGTTACAGAGCTTATTTCACTACCCCCCCCATCACCTTTCAGAGTGTCTTTATTCCTTATTACAGAGCTTACCTTGGTTGAACCCCCATCGTCTCTGGGGGGTGTCTTGGTTGTTAATGAACTTATCTTGGCTAACTGTCCATCGCCTCTTGTGGTGGTCCTGGTTGTTAATGAACTTACCTTAGCTGCCCCTCATCGCCTCTTGTAAGGGAGGGGGTGGGGGGTCTGTTTGTTACGGAGCTTACCTGATCACTGATCAAATCAACCCAACCTTATTCGACATTTTATTTACGACAAAATCAAATCTTCCATTGAAAAGCATCAAGAGAATTAATAAACACGATCGGCTGGAACACGACAGGATAAATTAAATACATTAAGAATAAAGAATATTACGAGATGTGATAAAATTGAAAACTGGTAATCATTATTGATTCCTACGTTTAATTAAGTTGGTAAAAAGATAGGAAGGTTAGATAATTCAATTGTGAATTTCTGGGAGATGAACAGAACATTTATTGAATGAGATTAGTAACTCTATTGAATGTGTAACAGCATCTGAGTAACATACATTCTACCGAGTACGGTCGACAATTTCTCTTCTGTCATCAGAATCTTATTTCATTTAAACATGCATTATGCAAGAGCAAAATCTGCTTATTACAAGTCTTTCTTTAGGCCTGAAATGTTATCTAAATTATTAATTAGACATTAATTAACTTATCCACACCATAATCAGCTCTCGATGTCAAGGCTAGCCTTCGATGTTGGCTGGATTAGATTCCTATATGCCGCTTAACGGCCATTGATATTTAAATCAAAACAGTGGATAAATGAGACTATGCTGTTTATATTAATGATTTTAGTAATGATGACCGAGACTATGCGAAAATTTCACCCGCTTCGTTCTCGGCTCATAGTGGATCAATTTGACTGAAATTTTCAGCAAATTACCTTTACACTATCTAGTTTTTAACTATTATAGCGAGAACTGCCATCTCTTTATCTTATCTCCCATAATGTATCTTTAATCGGTCAGTGAGTAATTGTTATGTAATGGTACGACCTAAGTACAGAACTGGTTGTAGAAAATGTGGGGCCCAATTTGGGAGGCCCAAAAATGAAATTAAATGGGGTTTAATGTCCTATTGTTCTGCTCCGACTGGGCATACAGTGTGCTATGAGGGAAATCTTGCCCAAGGGGCACTATGGCCTACTCATATATCGAATTCCAACTGCCAAGGGATCTTTTATGTGCATGCCAATGTATACACGGGACCTCGTTTTTTTGTCTCATCCGAATGAATTTATACTCCATCATCTCCTTAATGATGCAAATTACAAAAGTTCAGTTAAACATACATGTCTATTGCAGGTCTTTCTTTAGGCCTGAAATGTTATCTAAATTATTAATTAGACATTAATTAACCTATCCAGACCATAATCAACTCTGCTGTTTATCGTACTGATTTTAGTAATGATGATCGAGGCTAGGCAGAAATTTCAATCGCTTAGTTCTCGGTTCATAGTGGATTAATTTGAATGAAATTTTTAGCAAATTGTCTTTACATTATTTAGTTTTTAACTATTATAATGAGAACTGCCAACTCATTATCGAATCTCCCATAATGTATCTTTAAGTTGATTATTTGCCATTTAATTTAGAAAAACAAAATATATTATCAACAGTAGATAATCTCTTGTCTTGGAATTTTTTTCTTTTTAAAAGTTCCCGTAAATGTTATCAATGAGTTCTATACGTAAGATTTAGATAAAAAGCTGACAGTTCTCGTTACAATAGTTGATAATCTCCTGGCATGGAATTTTTTACTTTTTAAAAGTTCCTGCAAATGTTAAGTTATCAATGAGTTCTATACGGAATCTGGTTAAACTAGTAACATTAATATTAATTTAAATAACCACGTCCTGTCTTTGTTAAACTAGCAATATTGTTAATCATTTATAAATAAATGTCATGCAATTAAATAAAATGGAAATTGGATTTAACGTCTTAGCAGACGCCGTAGGTCTGGAGATGCAGGGAGGTCCCTGCGTTGAAAGTGTCTCAAGATTTTCTTTTGTGATTTCTAGGGTTTTGTGTTGCATGCAAAAATCGTATTGCAATATATTGCGATACTTGACAAAAAGTATTGCAATATATTACAGTATTGCAATACTTCGATAAAGTCAGAGTTTGTCACAAAGCACAGTTTTATTGTTTTTACAACTTTGGTCTTTGACACTTATTTTTTTACTGAATAATACTAAATTATGTGAATACACATGTCTTTTTTTATGTTTTTACAACTTTGGTCTTGTCTTTGCAGACTTATTGTTTACTGCAATGCCTCAAAAATATGACTGATTATAAAGTCTGTTTAAACAGTCCAGCTAAAATTTGAATATAAAATAACAGTAGAAAAATATCGATACAGCAAAAATGTATCGATACAGTGCATCACAGATGATCGTATTTCAATATATCGATATAGCAATATTTTTTGACAACCCCAGTGATTTCCCCTTGTGGACATAAAAGATCTCCCTTGACAGTTGGTTGGAATTCGAAATAAGAGTAGGTCAAAGCGCTGCTGGCCGAGAAAAAATTTCTTAAATAGCACATAGCACGCCGTACGCCTGTCTTCATTGGTCCAGATAAAGCAGAAAAGTTCCTTAAGATTTTAGTGTGTAATTTCCCCTTGTGCACATTATAGAACCCTTTGACATTTGAAATTGGAAATTAAGAGTAGCAAAATTTCCCTCTTAACACATTGTAGGCTGTGCTTGTCTCCATTAGCTCGGTTGAAGCAGCAGGACATTAACTCCTATTTTATTTGTTAGAGATGAGAGTAGATTTATTTATAAAGAGTATAATGTTAGCCTAATCACCATCTTGTTATTTTATTAGTACAATACATTTACTGTCATTAGTAAGACATTGATATTGTCGACCATTACCACTTTGTCGCGATGTCTGTAGATTAATGGCATAAAGCTTGTTGACGTCAGTCTGTGTCGTGTTAGCACTCTATAGTATCCGGACTATAAGATATGACAGTGTCCTATAACCCAAGTGAACCTACGTTTTCATTCTTTCCTTGTCAAAACAAAACTGGTTGTATGTGACAAAGTGTAGGGTCACCTATCCGGGAACGGGAGCAGGTCGTGTCATCCCACTACCGGTTCATCTTGGGCTGTTTCAGCCCAAATTTACGCGGGTCCTTTCATCCCACTTATATCGGGTCGTTTCATCCCACAAATTTAAAAATCGGTATAACATGAATTTTTAATATTTTATTTATACATTAATACAAATAACAACATGCCAATGCAATTTTATCATAGTGTCCAACTCCTTCTTTTGCATACGCCTTAGCTTATTTTCCGAATATTTTATTTATACGATGTCAATGCAATTTTAATATGAATAGTGTCCAACTTCTTTCTTTGTATACGCTTTAGTTTATTTTCCGAATCCACACCAATTCTCGACACCAATTTCACTAAAATTACATTGTTTACAATCGAGCGATGCTCATAGCAAAACATTCAGCTTGTAATACACTGTATAGTCATTTGCATGCATGTTGTTTCACTATAACAGGATTGCCAGTGATATAACAGATCAAAGGAAAAAATTGCACGTAGCCACTATTTCGACACGTGTAACCTTTAGATGTTCAGACTACCTGCCGTCTCAAATAACCCAACGTTAAAAGAAAGCATGCAGTGTCCACCTTACAACAGGTTCCATTGATTTACGATTTATTTTATAACTTATCACACAGTTTAGACCACAATGTGTTACCTTTCGCATTTTGATATTCTAAATGAATTCTTATTCAGATTTCTTATATTTGGAGATGTTTAGTTTCATTTCGAGTACGGAAATTAAATCAACGATCAGTTTTAAAATTAATTATGGTTTCGAAATAATATCAATCTAATTTGGCTTATTTAAAAGGGGCTCCTGCGCAATTTAGTTGATTATTTGGTAATACGTAGAGTCCATGATGGTTTTTTTGCCGAGTGATTCAGCTGTCAATATGTAATTATTCCATACATTATTGTTTATTTAACAATAAGTGAGTGTTTAACAGTTTATTTTACGATAAGTACAACTCAGGTAATTGACTGCTATTATAATAACAAGGGGGATGAAACAGCCCGATAAAAAATCAGGTTGGAATGAAACAGCCCGGGGTGAAACGGTTGTGAGATGAACTGACCCGCATCCACCTGTCCAACCTCATGGGTTTTCTCCGGGTTCTCCGGTTTCCTCCCACTGCTAGAGACCCCTACGCACTAGCGAATTATTCAAATAAAATTGAATCATATGTTAGTCCCGAAATGACCTAGTTTATGTCGAGTGGACGTTAAACCCCATCGCTCTCTCTCTCTCTGTCTGTCTCTCTCTCTCGCTCTCTTATTCTAGATTTGTTTGCTTGAAGTGACGGGCATTGAGTATTGTTTCATCTCCAAGAAAATTTACCTTGGTATCAAAATTCCTGGGGAGAAGTTTGATGGAAAAATATAATTGCCCAGACCTTATAATTACCTTTATATGGTTTGATTATAAGGTCTTGAGATAGTACCCTTATATGGTTTGATTATAGGTCTTGACAGATAGTATCATTATATAGTTTTGACAGATAGTATCATTATATGGTTTATTTATAAGATCTTGACAGACTGTGGTAACAGTATTGTTGATATTACGGTTACTTTTCTTAATTACATCTGAGTACACATTAATGTGGATTAAGACCATAGAAATGTGATATTTTATCGAAAAGGGCAAATGATGCAGCGTTATCTTTAATTATTATATTTTTTTTTTATTTGTAG